TTTTATTTTTGAATATTTTCTGAATTTTTATTTTTTCAATTTTCAAAACAATTTTTGTATGCCTTTTAACTATTTTTATTTCATTTTAGCACACAACCTGCTTCTTTTTAATTATAAATATTTGTATACTAAACAGAAGCCAACTCTATAGAGTGGACACAATTTAATGCTAAGCAAAAATATAACGACAGCTGCGCCCAAATACAGATTTTTATACTTTTTCCGAAATTTTTTTTAATATTTCTCTCAATATTTAGCGGATTTTTGTTCTCTTGTGTTTCATGGTTTGGAATAACCTCAAATTTGCTGCTTACTTTGTAAAAAAAAATGAAATTATTGTTGTAAAAAAGTGTGTGTTTTGTAAGTGTATCCGTTATGTAAGTATAACTGTTGTCTACATACGATATGTAATACAGGATATGCGCTGACTTTTTGGGATTTTTTGTCTTTTCAAAACTAATTTTCAACTGAACACAACTGCCGTTACACATAATTGCTGAGCATAATTTCTTACACAAATCTACTTAATATAATATAAACTCTTTATATATATATATATATGTATGTACATATCACGTGCTTACGCACTTGTTAGCCGCTTCATCAGTACTACACGCTAGTACTTCCTCTGCATCAACTGGGGAAAGGCAAACGGTCTTTCCACCGCATGGCGCGGCTGATATTGTAATTGTAGCTGAAATTGTTTTTGCTCCAAACCACTAACACTACTACCGCTCCAGTCGCTGTTAGTGGCGTTGTGAAAATTGTTGTAATGCAAAGCAGGCGTTGGCCATTGTGCGGTTACTGGCTGCGTTGCTGGTGACTGCTGCCTGGCGGCGGCGACATTGTGTTGTGGCATTGTCAGCGGCAAACCATCTCTTTTTCATCCACTCAACGGCGCATAAGCAAAATGTCAGTTGTTTGATGATGCATTCGATGAGGTAATCGATGCGGGTGAGCCGACCGCAGCGGTGGCGCTGGCTGCACCGATGCTGGAGAGTGAGGAGACACGCGCACGTTTCTCGCTGCTCGCACTCTCGGTGGGATTGTCGCTCTCTTCGCCATTGCTGAAGTTGCCGGGCAGACGGCGTTTAAGATTATTATTCAAACCGCTTGCGATGGCTTCGTCTTCCGAGGTTGAGTTGGTGCGTTTCGGTGTGTTCGTTGCACTATCGTTGTCCAGCGAGGCAATAGCTGTGGCAGCTGCTATTGTAGCCGCGCTGAAATCATCCTCTGATGCGCTATCCTGCGACACAATCGCGCTGTGATTGTTATTTATACCAGCTGATTCGCTCATACCACCACTGGTGCCACTCAGTCCACTGCCGACACTCATGCCCGACGGTGTTGTGTAGCTGCCCAATTTGTTCGGATCCTTTTCGATGAGTTTTTGTGCAAGTGTTTTCAGTGAGATCAGCGAGTTCTCACAGTCGCTAGTATCGATCTCGGTGAGGCTAATGCCGGCTCTTTCGATTTCGGCATAAGTGCCGAATGGCAATTTCTGTAGACACTCCAATTTTTGTACGTGTGTTTTAGAGCGCAAATGCTTGGCGAGATGTCCGTGTATGCGGAAGGCGATTTTACAGTCGGTACACTCGAAGGGACGTGGGTTGGAGGTCGTCGGCACGCCGAAGGTGGACGTCATCATGACTTTGTTCTTGTGTGCTTCGGCGCGTTCATGCTTTTGCAGATGACCTTGTGTGCGGAAAGATACGCCACATGGCTCACAACGGAACTTGCGCTCCATGTAATGTATATTCATATGTAAAGACAATTGGCCTTGTGTCTGGAACGTTTTCGAACAAACTTTACACACCGGTCGTCCGTCGGGTGACATACGTACGCGCGGATAGACTGGTTGAATTTCATTATTACCAGACTTCTTTAGACCGTCTTCGCCAACAACGACTGTACGTCCAGGTGCCGAAAGCACGCCTGTGAAATCGGTAGTCCCTGGTTGTGCCACAACCGCAGGTAATTTTGCATTATGCGACTCGGTGTTTGTTGTACTGTTGTTGGTTGTTGTATTGCTGCTGTTTCGACTGCGTTTCGCGGTATGACCTGCTGCTGGTTGTTCCTGATCGGAAACGTATTCACTATCTTCACCTTCATCGGATGATTTACAAGCCGCAGGCACGTTGGACTTTGTGGGTAATGCTTTGTTATTAGTGGCATTGCTGCTCGAAACATTAACTTTATTATTGCTTGCGGCTATTGCGGCTACTGCTGGAGCCACTGTTTGTTCGCTCTTCGACTCTTCAGTGGGCGCTGCATTGACTTCGATTGTGGGTACTTGCAACTCGGTTGTGCACTTTACCCTCTCCACTTTGTTGGAGGTGACGGCTGAGGGTTTGTTCGATAGACTGTCTGTGGTATCCGTGGTGTCGTTGGTTAACACCGTCGTGGCTATGCTCTCTGAAATACGCACACCGCTGCTTACAGTTGCTGTTGTTGTGAGCGCGGTGCTTGATCCAGCGCCCGCCACACTTACGGTACTCATGTTTGTTGTGCTGGCGAGATTTTGATTGATAGCTTTCACATTGACGGCATCGGGGAAGCTCTGGTTCATTTGGATTTGTTTGATTTTATGGTATTGGAATGCCTTGTGGTATTGGTAGGCTTGCGAAAGCTCATCTCCGTTCTTGTAGTTCTCAAGCATTTCAGTGGAGCTGCGCACTTTGTCCGACACTGAGATGAGTGTTTTCAAGAAACCCGATTCATTGTTGCTATTGCCGAAGATCACGTCACGTATTTGCGCTTGTGTTTGTACTGGCGGACCACTTAGCGGCACTGCTGTGCTGGCACTATATTCTTCTGTAAGCGCTGCATTGCTCAGGTGAACTGCAGCTGTGTTGGCCGTTACAGACGAGGTTGTAACACTTACGGCAGCACGTGGCTTGGTGAGATCTATGGGTGCACTTTCATAACTCGCTGCAGCGGCGCTATTATTGTGTTTCGGCTTTGACTCTTCGGGATTGGAGTAGTATTGCTCTTGTTTCTGATAGTCGAACGGTGGTTTGGGTGAACTGAATGATATGACACGTTTGATACCGGTGGGATGCGTGCTGCCAGTTGACGCACAGGTCGTTGTCACTGTTGTTGTTGCCATGCTTGTCTGGCCTACAAACGACATAGCTGCTGGTTCCATGCGTTCGCCATGCTGCTGATATGGGTATGGCTCACTTTTCGGATGCGGTGAAATGCTTTGCCCGATGGGTGGTGTCATAGAGAGCGAAAGCAAACCACGCGCCGCTTCATGCTCCAGCAGACGCGACTTCGACTCATCCGTATCTAAGTGAATATAAAGAAAATCCCAATTAGTTTGTTGTAAGTTAAAAGTTTTGTTCAATGGATAATTACGCCTACCGCTGCTTTCGGACTCGTTATCACTGTAATCGTCCGAGTCCGATTCGCCTGGTATGGACGATGTGCGTCCACCAGCCGATGTGGTCGATTGCTGATCGAACTCTGGTTCCGGTTCGAGAAATTCACCATCAGCCGGCATTGGTCCAGGGTTAATGCCGAGCTCAAGACATTTCTTGAAATGCGTCTTTGACTGCATGTGCTTCGTGAGATTGCCCTTTGTCTTAAAGCTGTAATTTTAAAGAGCTCAAGATTTGTAAATTCAATTAACCACTTCAATATCGAGTGACTCACCTGAAATTGCAATGTTTACAAGTGTATGGACGCACATCCGTGTGGGTGCGTATATGTTTCTTCAACATCGAAGGTTTTTTACAACGAATGCCGCACTCCGAGCAGACATATCGGCCACGACCACGACCACGTATATAGGTGTAGTCCTCGTGCGATTCATAGCCACCAATTAACATTTGACTAGCCGATGGCTCTTTCTTGCCACTGCTATCTACGCTGCCATTACTACCACTGCTGCTACCGCTACTACCGGCGCTAACCTTCTTCAACTGTTCGGCGCTCTCCGTTGTATTGGTGTTGAGTGAGATTTGCTTCAATTGATGGTGCAGATACTGACCCTGATTGTTCTCGAACGGTGTCATAACGATCTGCTGCGAGACAACCAAAGTGTAGGGGACCTTATTCATGCCGGCCATAGTGCTGGTAGAGCTCTTCTGACGTGAGTCATACAGGGACATCACCAACTTCGGTTTAAAGCCCAACGGATGTGGATTGTTTTCCGCGCAAACCTTCCACACGCTGTACATGGAGAGCTTCTGAGCGCCCGCCACATAAGAAGCCTGCGGACAGTTAACGGTGCAGTAGAACATTTTCGTGCTACACTTGAGTCCTAAATATGTGTAGGCATGTCCGTTCAGATAGAGTTGTACGCAAGACTTGGATTGACGTGGTGTCTCCGGTGAAATAAGTGGCAGAGTGTTGGCATTAGGTGTGATGCCGTGATGTCTTTTCGGTGTAAATGTGCCGGGTTTGAGCGGTAGACTGGTAGGTCGCAGAAATTTAGATTTCTTCCTCTCGGCATCGGTGGGCTCCGAGCCGTTGCTGTTGCCAGACGCAGCGCTGGCACTAATATCAACATGCAGCGGTGTGAGTGCAGAGTTTGCCGGTGTCGTGATGCCGGTCTCCACATCCTTAGTTAAATGATCGAAATTGAAGTGACGCACTTCACCCTCTGGCGGCGAGCTTTTTGGCACATTGGCGCTGCCACCTTTGCGTGGACTTATATTGTCCGCCATGCGTGTGAAATTGAATGACTTCTTTGGCACATCCAAACTATGTGGCTTGCTTGTCGAGCCTGCGGCAGCTTGCGGATTCCAACTGCGTGCCGCACGCATGCCTGACGCACGTTCGAAATCGGTGGGTGCATTTTGCGCACCACGAAAAGGTGATACAGATTTCAGATTTTCCTGCGATGACATCGTCATAGATTTGGGACTAGCACTGTTGGCAATTGACAGCGGACTTTGTGTCTTTTTGCGATTCGGACTGAGCGAACGTCCTGCGGTCAGCAGTTGTGTTGCCGGTTGCGGCAGCTGCAGATGTTGCGGTGGTGGCAGTTGGGGTGTTAGACTGTTTGGTCCGGGTATACCAGGTACATGTGGTATAATTTTCTCACCACTACCGGTCATGCTCTGCAAAGGTGGCAGCGTTAACGGATTGAATGCTGTTATGGGGTTGATGGAGAACTGATGAAAATGCTGCGGCCCATTTGTGGGCAAACCGAGACCGACCAAACTTAGTTTCGGCGTGAAGGCACTGCTGTTCGGAAAGGGCAATGCAATGCCACTTTTGTTCTCCTTATCTTTCGGTTTCGGTGAGACTTCCTGAAAACTACCGCCCGAGAGCAAGGGTGTACGTATCATTTTAGTGCTCTTATCCACATCGCTGCATTCCGAGAGTGGTATTATACAGCCGCCGGAGGAAGTAAACCGACGCATGCGTTCCTCCTTTTTGCTCAGGTCGCTGGTACTGGTGTTGGGCAGCAGCTGTATATCACCGCCACTGATGCTATTGATGGTCAAGCGCTTGCTGCTGGTAGGTGCTTGATTTAGCGAAAATACCTCGTTGCTATCCGAAGCCAGTTTAGCGCGTTTCGCCGATGTATGTGTCTCGAATTGACGATCTTCATGCATTTTGGTTATAATCACATCTTCTGACGTCTTACGCGTCTCGCTGGTATTACCAAAATCGACAAGTGGTGTTTTGCCCAACAGTGGACCTGGTGATGGCAGTGGTGCGTCGATCAAACGCACAATGTTCGGATCGGGTAATGTCAAATTGGCTGGTGGACCATTAGGCGGTGTACTTCGAGGTGAAGCAACACAGTTGGCCACACTATTACTACTTGTTGAACTAGTCGGTGCGGTGGATGTCGCCGAAGTAGTAGTGGTTGTAGTAGCCTTTGAGCTGCCAGCCTGCGAGGCGCTCAGTCGACTTAAAACCAACGAACTCGGTTTGGTGCGTAGCTGATACCAAGCCAGCTTAGCGAGCGGCAGTGGATTTTGTGAACTTAAGATGGTGTTCTTCAGCTCGGGCAAATTCAATGTCATCGAGTTTGAGCGGAAGTGGAGGTACGAAGGCGACGATACTGGACTGATGGGCGCGCTTGTGGCACCTTGGCAGTAAGTGCTGTTGTGCAGCTGTAAGTCCTCCGCCGTGCGGAAGGTATTCGCGCAGAGTGGACAATTGTAAACAGCATCCTCACCTTCACCGGTTGGTACCGCCAAACCACGCGCATTCAGCAGCAAATTCTTAATTATAGAAACATTCGTTGGTTGCTTGGCATTGGCGACGCCGCTACTAGCAGCTGGCGGTGCGGTAACCATCGAACTGTTGGTGGAACCATCATTGCTGGAATTGGACATCTGGTTTTCGATAGACTGACGCTTGCGCGGAGTATTGCTTGGTGTTGTGGCTAAGTTGCTAGCTGGAATGGTTTCGGTTTGTTCTTCCTGACGCGGCTTCGGCTTAGCGGAGAGGTTCAAAGGCAGCGTATTTGAGTTGGCGGCGGCGCTTATCTGCTGCATCGCGTTCATGTTGTCCTTGTGTAATGAGCCGCCGGTAGATTGGGCGCTTGTAGGTGACGGTGTTGGGCGTTGCGTTTCAGGTGGCAGCGCAGTCGATAGCTGTCTGTAAGCGGTTGTGGTTGGATGACGTTGTGGTTGCGGATGCAAAGTTTGCAAGTGTTGTGGCATAGGCGCTGCAATGCCGCTGGACTTTGTCGTGCTGGACATTGGCATAAGATTCTTTGAAATACCATTTGGTTGCATGTGATGTTGCTGCTGCTGTTGTTGTTGTTGCTGCAGCTGCAGTTGATGGTGCTCCTCGAGACGCAGCTGTGCAATATGTTGCTGTTGTTGCTGCTGCGAAGGCGGTGGCATTTGCATTGCTTGTGAGCCGGCCATTAGCTGCTGCTGGAATTGCTGTTGATAGTGTTGCTGTTGCTGCAATTGTTGCTGTAACTGTTGCTGTTGTTGCTTCTGTACAATCGCTTGGGCTAGTCTTGCGTTGGTGGCGCTATCGCTGCCCACGGCTGTAGTGGCGACCAAACTGACGTTGCTGCCACCCGCATTCCCTGTCGAGGTGGCCGTCGCGCCGCTATTGCTGCCACCACCATTATTGGTAAAACTACGCGAGCGATTCAGACCCTTCGGATATTTCTTCTGCAAAAGCACGGCTTTATTCTCCACGATCGCCTCATTCTGTGAGATCAACTTGGTGATGTGTTCCTGCACAAGATCGGCCACTTTGTTCGTGCCGCTGGCGGCCGCATTGGAGATGTTGCTATGCAAGATGCCGGTACTTATGGAGGCTGTGGTGTTGCTGGTGGCACTGCTGACGCCACTCACCATGCTGCCGCCGCCAGTGCTGGAAAAATATTGTAATGACGTTTGTTGCGCGCCGGGCAACGGCGCAGACGCAGTCATTTGCTGCATACCTGCTGCTGACGGCGCGTTTACGTGTTGGGCATTTGTGGCGCTAGTGGCGCGTGCGTGCACTGGCAATGTAGCGGTGGGTTTTAGTACTGTTGTTGGGGCTGGTGGCACATGTGCGGCTAACTGTGATTGCGACATATGCTGCAACTGCTGTTGCTGCTGCTGACTTAGCTTGTGAAAGTGTTGTTGCAACTCTTGCTCCAACCACTTGTACTGGAAGTGCAGTTTTTGACGTTTATCGGCCGTCATCATGTGCAGTGCCTCGGGCGGAAAATCAATACCACCCGAATAGATCATGCGCGTGCCTGGCAGATAACCCATGTTGGCCGCGGCTACAGCCGCTGCTGCATTCACCAAGTCAGGGCGCGGCCCGGCGCTTTTCGGCGACATGGCCGCCACGTGATGCAGCGGTATGCCCGCATTGAGCGGTGGCGGTAGCACGTGCAGCGCTTGCGGTTGTTGTGGCTGTTGCAGCTGCAACTGTAACTGATGTGTGTTTATGTGATTGCTCAACTTTACTTGAGTGCTGGGCGACAGCGATGGATGATGCGCCACAGTTGGCGCTGGCGGTGGCGCTTGCGCTTGTGGCAGCATTGCTAGGTGTGTAGCAGGCGGCATATTATGTGGTGGCGCTTGTGGTAGTTGCTGGTGTGGCGACTGTTGTAACGGCAAGGGTTGCAGTAGACCGGGCGGCATGCCAGCTGCGACGGCTGCTGCCGCTGCCTCCTTTGTCGTCGCGTAAAAGGCGGCATTGTGAAATTTCGGTTTGTAAGGTTTAAGCTCGGTGGCGGCCTGTTTGGATGTGGTGGTAACGGCAGTAATTGTAGTGACGTTTGATGTCGTTGGTTGCGGTGGCGGCAATGTGCCAGCAGCTGGTGAACCCAGCGGTAATTGTTGCGGCTGTTGCAAGTAGGCGCTTTTCGCTGACGAAAGCGACGATGGTGAGGGTGTGGATGGCAGCGCGACATGTGATGATTGCGCGGCGTTTGCTTGCTGCAGCTGCTGCTGCTGCTGCTGTTGTATTGCCAAAACAATTTGTTGTTGCTGTTGTAGTTGCGTCTGCTTTTGTTGCTGTTGTTGCAGCTGCTGTAGTTGTTGCGGTGTAAGCGTGCTGGCTGTTGACGGCGTAGTGCTCATTACCCCAGGCGACGAAGCGATATTAAGATCTTCCAGCGGCGAAGCGGTGCGACTTATCTGTGAAAGACAATGCGCATTGATATTATATTATATTTAGCGCACGCTGTTTGACTACTAGCACAAATATTTGTACTTACCACATCTGAACTGCTGTTGCTCAATTCCGGATCGCCCTCCTGATCGGAGCCGCCGAAGAGGCCATCATCGGCGCTTATAGGCACCGCGATGCCGCGTTTCCGCGCAGCATGCGAACGCGATCTGCATGTTAAAAATAACATAAATTATTAAATATTTCGAGCAAGATTTGTGTGCCGCCACAACTTACCGGCAATGTTTGTAGTAATTGCTGTTCGTTTTGAATGCGATGCCGCAGATGTCGCACGGGTAGGGACGTTCGTTGGTGTGCGCACGTATGTGCTTCTGCAGCACCGACGGTTTTGTACAATTCAGATTGCAATAGGGGCACACATAGCGTCCCGTGCTGGCATTGCTATTGCCACCGTTATTCTGCTGATTCTGTTGATTCTCATAAATGTGCGACAAAGTTTGCGGTATTTGTTCTGCCTCCAGCTGTTGCGCCGCGCTGATGCTATCATTGTTATTGCTCTCACTGTGGTTACTGCTTTGTGCAGTTGCGCCGCTATATTTTACACTATTCGTGTTGTTATTGTAATTTGACTGCTCCACTGTTGCAACAGCCGGTGCCGATGCCGATGCCGCCGTCGCGTGCGCGTGTCCATTCGTCAATGGCAACGCGGAAATAGCACTTTGTACATAAGCGACGTTGGCGGTTGGCGCTGTGCTTTGCGCGTACGTCGCCGCTGTGGGTGTAGGTGTTGTGGCCGGTGGTGGCGATATTGAGCTTGTCGACGCCGCTGAAGACAGCGAGGTGGTGCGCGTTGGCGCCGCCTCACTGCCTGCCTCACTGCTCGCGCTGCTGCCCGCGGCATTGACGCTCTGACTGTCCGCCACGTTGTCCACGTCTGTGGTGCTAGCGAGGCGTTTGAACTTTTTGTGTAAATACCGCGCGTTGTTCCAAGTATTCGGCTCGGCGGCAGGGGCTGCCACTGGCGATGCGCCTGCGGCTGTTGCCTCCGCTGCTTTAGCTGTTACTGTCCTATCACTACTATTGTCGACATTTTGCTGTTGTTGTTGTTGTTGTTGTTGCTGCTGTGATTTTTCACTTTTGCGCGCCAACTCATTTTGACTTAAGTTAAAATTACTTTTGCTTAAACTACTGTTACTAGTATCACTGTGTTTGTTGTTGCTGCTGCTACTGCTAGTGGCGGTTGTTGTATTATTGTTGTTGTTGTTATTATTAATATTTGTTGTGGCTGTTTCCGATTTTACAACAGTCTTTTGCTCTCCTCTAGCTTCCCTGGCGCGTGCCGACTTATTGTTGCCTTGTATGACCACCGCTGCCTCGTTGCCAATCGCAAGTGGATCTTTGGCACCGCCAGCCGTCGCCTTGCCAGTGCTGCCGCTGACTACTGTATCCGTTGCTGTGTAGGCAGCGAGTGCTGCGGCGCGTTGTGCAGCTGCTGCTGCTGCCTTGGCCTGCTTGGCGGTCTGCTTCGGCACTTTGACGTTATCGCTGGCATTTGCTTGCGCTTCGCCGCCTTGTGTGCGATATGTGCCGCGTCGTTCTGTGGCACGATGATGATTGTTTTGTAATTTTGTTGTTTTATTATAGTGTTTTGTTGTTGTAGTTGTTGTTGCGGCAGCTTCCATATTGCTGTTGCTAAGGTTTTGTTGACGTGATTGCGTTGTGCCGCCGGGATCATCTGTAAGAAAGAGAGAGAGAAAGCGGTGATATATGAGTTAATATTAGTTTAGAAAGAGTTTGTGTAGCTTGCAATAAATGATACATATTGTAAATGGTATTTTTTTTATTTATTATAATATTATTTTATTATTGAATTTTGCTTTTCAACATTTATTTATCCCTTTGTATTCGCAACAAAACATTGTTCCCCGAAATTTTGTTGTGGTATCGCAACATCGATATATCGCATAATTTTTGTTTCGCAACTTTAATGTACCTCAACATTTTTTGATTCGCAACATTATTTTTCCGTAACGGTCACCAATATCCATTCAATAATTTTGGTATCACAATATTATTTTATCGCAACATCAATGCATCCCAACATTTTTTTATTTCAATATTTTTAAAACTTTCACAAATAATGTTAATATTTTTGTTTCGCAATATAAATGTGCCTCAACATTTTGGTTTCGCATCGTCAATGTATCTCAACATTTTTGTTTTGCAATATAAATGTACCTCAACATTTTGGTTTCGCATCGTCAATGTNCTCAACATTTTTGTTTTGCAATATAAATGTACCTCAACATTTTGGTTTCGCATCGTCAATGTATCTCAACATTTTTGTTTTGCAATATAAATGTATCTCAACATTTTGGTTTCGCATCATCAATATATCCCAACTTTCAATGCATTTCAAAATTTTTGTTTGGCAACATCAATGTGTCTTAAAAATTTTGATTCGCAACATGAATATATCTCAACATTTAAGAAAAAATTAAACATTTTTTCGAAAAATTTCCACGTATTTTTTACTAAAATTGTTTCAAAATATTAACTGTGTAGTATTGCAAGTTTTTAATGACCCCCACGTACTTCGTTCCCCTCAAATGCAGAAATAATTTTCATAAGCATTCGCGAAATTAATACTTATTTTTATCAATTCTGCAAAAACTCACAACTGATAAACACACGTAATTTAATAAAGCAAAAACTGCACAACGTTCATCGGTTTTAACGATTGATCATTAAAACATACACAAAAAAAAAAAAAAGAATAATAGATATCAATTAGATTAGATTATATTTTTATTGCTATTTCACCATAATCAAAAAATTGCTTGGCATAAATAGCTAAAGAATATTCCTAATTGTTCACATTTCGTTTGGACACGACTAAACATGTGTGTGAGTGTTAATGTGCTTGTGTTTGTGTTTGCGTTAGCCATTAATACCATAAATCACACCGGTAGTTTCCAACTTTTAAATATCACGTCAAATGCTTACAAGTTTACATTTCGGAACTTGTATTTATACGTGTGTTGGTGTTGATGTGGGCATACTGTGAATAATGCCGTAACTAGGCAGCCAGCCACTTTGTCTGCGGTTAATTTTCCCTTGATTTGTGTGTAGTAATTATCCAAAACGCTACATACCAACTACATATGCTTATAAGGGGTACAACACGTACTTAAATATAAATACATACATACATATGTATGTAATCATAATGACATGAGTAATTGATTAAGGTAAAAAAAGGTAGACGCGATGTCACGGCGTCTCTTTACATTTTATGTTATTTGCATATGAATAACTGCGGTTGGCTGCTTATTCCGAAATTCATTGAAACAAGTTTTGTCAACGCCAATTTAATTGGCTGGAAATCGTTTTTTACTGTCTTTCGTTATGTTTCTATTCGGATGATGAAACAATGTGCTTCAGTCACTTACGTTCATAATACAAAGGTTTTTTGTTTCGCAATTCTTATTGTTGCTTTGGATTTTTTGTTGTTTTGTTATAAATATATTTGTATATATATTGACATAGCAAATTGTAAAATTCTTTGCTTTTACTATATTAATTTGTGTGAGAAACATGTTTCACGATAAAAAAGTTTTTCAGAAATCAATGTTTGCCAATATATGTTGCAGGTTTTCACAGTTACTATGCTTATTTGAATAATGTGGCCATGATCAAAAACTATTTTCTCCTACAACTTTTGGAGTGAACATTTTTATATCTCGGACTTTAATTTTTCATTACTTAGTCGATAAAAATCGATATTTTTAGCATCCCATTTTTTGGTTAGGTCTTGGGCTAAATCAATTTTCATATTATTTAAACATTTCAATATGAAAATTTTAAAAAAATTGGTTAATTTAATTATTTTTTTCTATATTTTCAGCTTGTCTTCTGTTTCTTTGCCCGTATTTTTTATTTATAGGTAAGTGTCACTTATTCTTTGCATTCATGTAAAATATTTTTTATATTCTTTAAGAATTTATATTTAAAGCTTTCCTTTGAGCTGTCACTAGTGAATGAACCGGTTTTTTTTTTGTTTTTATGGATGTGTCACTTATGCATATTTTGCTTTTATTTGAATTTTTTCATATTCCATATTAATTCATAATAAAGCTTTCATTCTAAGCTTCCACGAATACATTATGGCTAAAAAAAGTATATATGTAGATAAATTAAAACTCTCCATTTACATATTTTCATAACAAATTTTTTTTAGAAATATAAGCTGCTCTTATTTTCACTTGCTTTTTTTTTACGAAATAAACAGCTTTAGCAAATAGCAGATGAGTTCTCCTGTGCAAAAAGCTTTCACATTTCACCTATACCTTCTTTAGCGATAACATATCTAGCAATACCGATCTTAAAACCTTTCACTTTATACATTTTAGCTAACAATACCAGACATAAAGCGTTGACTGCTAAATTTCGACAGTAAATAATGAATTAAAAGCTTTTAAACTTTACTCAACACATATAAGTAGTACGCTAAAACATGCTTTCACTTTGACTTTCGGCAACATATAATGAAGAGCTTTTGAAATTAAAAGTTTTTAAACTTTACTTAGAAGAATATAAGCAGAAATACCCAACATAAAAGCTTTGACTGCTAAGATTTGACAATAAGTAATGAAAAGCTTTCGAAATTAGAAGCTTTTAAACTTTACGTAACAGAATATAGTTAGCAATTTCCAACATAAAACTGGCTGACTGGTAAGTTTCAACAATAAATAATGAAAAGCTTTCCAAATTAGAAGCTTTTAAACTTTACTCAGGACAAATAGCATGCTCAAAGCTTTCATTTTGACTTTAAGATATGAAAACCCTTTGGAATTAGAAGTCATATAACATCTACGATGGATACTAGAAGCTTTTACTTTTAACTATAGACAAAATGTAATGCTTTCCAGCTTCATAAGTTTTGTGTTTATTCAATACATATATCACTACCGATCCTAGAAGCTTTCACTTTTAACGATTAAGAAAATGTTTTGAAAAGCTTCTAGCTTCAACCATTTTTTAGCTTTACTTCAAAATAATGTATAAATCATGCTTACTTAAGAAAAGCTACGTATACAAATAAAAATTATTTCCATTTAAAAATTCCCAATACTCCATAAATTCTGAGTTATATAACACACACTTCAATTGCGTACTATCAACCGAGTGCTAACTAATTGTTTGCTGATTACAGAGTATAAAAAATATACAAAACATATGGATAAATATTTTCACATACATGCACACACACATGCGTGTTATATTAAGTAATATCTGTCATTTGAATATTTTTATGGCATTTAAGGTGCTTTTTGTTACGGTTTTTTGGGAATTTCGCATACCCAACACATGTTGGCGCTTGATTTATGAACGAACGCGCCTCGGCGTCGCACAAAAATAAGAAATCGGGTGTTGTATTTGTATTTATATTTATTTATTTATACCAAATATGCGTGTCTCTTAAAGTACTTTTTTTTTGTCACAGCAAGTTTATTAAAAGTTGAGGTGGGCGTGTGCGTTTTTTTACTGTCGAGATTAAAATGAGGTTAGGTTTTGGTTTGAGTTTTTTAGCAGGAAGCGATGATCATTCAGAGTTGCTGCGGGAATTTTTAGTTAAAATAGTGGTTTTTACAAAATCAACCACTTAAATTAAATAATTTATACTTATTTTATGTTTTTAAGGAAATTTTTTTGATAATTAAATGTGAAAAAACTTGTTTTTTCGGGTGAATTTTCCGTTAGACGTAGAGTTTTTTTTATATATATGTATCTCCTTCAATGTTTCAATAAATACAATCCATGCCGCTTTATCTAAAGCTTCTTTATAAAAATAGCGTATTGCTACTAAAAAACTGAGGAATACTCTCATCAGCATGAGCAATCAGCTGAGTGATCAGATAAGTACTTAATTATTTATAACTTTTATTATTGCGTTTTTATGTGTCGAATGTGAACTAGACAGTTGGATTCTTGAAATAATCACTTATGTCTGTACTTCAGAATAAATTTCTATACAAATACATGTAAACATATATGTTATAAATATTTATTCACATAAATATATATGTATTACACAATTGTAGTGTTAGAAATTGCACTCAGTTGTCAAACACACGAAAATTTTATAGACAAATAATAATTAAAGCAACAAGTGATTGCAACTCAAGTAGCACAATATGTGCATAACAACTGTAGGGTAAAGAAAATAACAAAAAACGAGTAATAATAAAGTAAAGCAAATATCTTGCGAGTCATTTAATTGCTTTGCTGTTACTGATAATATGGCCACTGACGTCAGAAGAAGTCAAGTGATTGACGAGGCAGCGAAACCAAAAACACCTACGTACGCAAAAAAAAAAAAAAAAAAAAAAAAAAAAAAAAAAAAAAAAAAAAAAAAAAAAAAAAACAAAAAAAAAAAAAAAAAAAAAAAAAAAAAAATAAGAATAAAAATAAATAAAAGTAACTGATTATAAAATTGTATATTGACAGCAGAAGTTACTGTTTTTTCAGCGCTTCAATAAGAAACAAAAGAAATGTATGTACATATGTATATATAAATGTATATATACAAGCTTAACAAATATGAAAAAAGCGATTTTGAATATTTGTTTTCGAAATTTAGTATAGTACTTACAGAGTTTTTGAATTCAATGAACTGGTGAAGTGAAAATTTCAAAAGCCTTTCTTTCCAATAAAACTCTCAAAATATTAATT